AAGCAGATTTTGACATCAAAATTTGGGGTAAAAAAAGTGCATCTTATACACCGAAAAATACGGTAGTTTTAAATTATTAATAATCAAAAATAAATTAACAAAATAATGAACCAAAAACACGAAGCTATTAACTTTTGTATTGAAATTAAAATGTTGCAAACTTCAAATAAAATAAATTCAAATATAGCCTATAATAATACCCCGAGATATTGTTGTGATAATTTCTTTCATCCTACTAATAAGATAAAATAAAGCATTTATGCAGTTTATAGTATAATGTCAATTACGAAAGGGAAATGAGAAAATATATGTAAACGGTAACAATAATGAAAGCTTCGAAGCTATAAATAGATCCAGCATCACGTACCCCTTGGTGTTGTGATATTCAGTTACACTGATAACCAATAGATAAGTTTAAAAGTATTCGAAAACACACATACACAAAAGAAACACCCAAACACAAATTATGATCACAATAATATACTTGTGAATTAAAATTTCCTTTTGACTCTAACTGGTTGGTAGAGTGAAGAAGGGTTCCCTGAAACGTCTGCACAAAACAAAGAAAAGAACGAATCTTTCACAACCTTACAGATTAAAGATCAAGGGATTTTTTTTATTTACTACACCAAATTCAGACGAAACAGTAAAATGCATTTTACAAGAATGCAATTCTACATACGTAACCGACTTTCCAAATAACTTTATGGGGAGAAAATCACTAACTCATACCAATTTGTATAAGTATCATTGTCACCCCTTGAGATGGGCCCTCCTCTTACCTGGGGTCCCAGAGACAGGGCTAAAATAATATGACTTTATAACCGTGGGCGTATGGAATATTTACGTGAGTAAGAGGATTGGTAAACGTTAACGACCTGTTACATATCTGGTCGTTTGTTAATTTCCGGTATAAATTATTTTCGAGGAACTTCAGCGATGCAAGTCCTTTCTTAATTAAAACTAGTTTATTCTTTCTCGATACAACTTTGTAATACACAGAATTTCCACAGTCACTTTAAACTTAACAATCTTTATAACACATGCTATAAATCATGGTGATTCACACACTTTACTTACGGTGCCTACTGTTCACTTCACTCAATTATCTATCACTTCAATATCTATCTGCATATTTCTTCAATCAATCATTTCGCATGCTTTATCTGCCAGGCTTATATACTAAAAAGGGGGCGTCCCGAATGTACTAGGAAATTTATGATCATACGAGAAACACACACGTGTTACCAGAGTCACGTGACTTCCGCTGTCGTAACAAGCCTTTCAACATTCGGTTAACAAGAATGTTATACTACATGCACAATACCTGAACTCAAATTTAGGAAAAAAAAGTACCTAAATAAAAATATATTCTAAACTAGTTATGGAAGAGTGAAATTTGTGACCATTTCAATCATTACACTGTCATGAATACTACATGCGCAGCTTAATTTTCTTTTGCAGTGATTCAACAATATAGAAATGAATAGTGTACTTGTGATTTTCATTGTCAAAGTCCGCAAATTTTCAATTTTCTAAGTAACGAAATTTATTAATATTCATAAATCTTTATTCATGAACATGCTTAATAAACGAAGATTATAAATTTAATACTACGATATGACCACTGAAGACTTATTTCATTGACCTCCTTTTTGACATTTGCTTTGTAACTAATACCTAATTCAAACATTGTTTACCATTAAAACGCTCTTTATTGTTCAAACTATTATCATTTTTATTGTTGTTGTTGGCTATCTATATAATTCATACTTTTATTTTGTTTTTATTTAGCATTATATATTGTAAGTAATATAATTTCGGTATGTTATCATTATATTAATGGAAACCAATGAACTTTTTATTGTTGCTGTTATCTATATTTGAGGACCTATTCATGTGATCAATGCTAAATGTTTGCCGTTCTTGTTCCGTACTATCTTATAAGGCAAGGTTATGTAACAATATATATATATATAATTATTTCAATGTAAAAAATAAATAATTTAGCCTCAACAAATACAACAGACAGTAGTGAACGTTTGTTTACTTTAACCTCAAAAATTCGCAATGGATAACTACACTTTGACCACCACAGGAATTGAACCCCGAACTTTAGCGCTTTTAGCTTACTGTTGAGTCACGGATGAAAGGTTTGTTTTTGTTTTTTGTTTTTAATTATG